CCTTTAACTTGAATGAAAAATGAATTGGTAGTATAAGTTGTATTAAGCCCGCACGGACTTAACTCACTAGTTCAGTAGGTAGTATTTGAGAGATTGTGCGTGATTTACAACATCCCAAATACTTTTTGAGGCCTTTGAGATTGAGGATTCAACCTTTTGAGAGAAGTATAAGTTGTATTAAATGTTTGTGTTTTGTGTTGTTTCTTTACATTTTCTTTCCAATTTTACCATTCACAACTTTCTTTTTGTCATTTATTTTAACATGAATTCTTAACTGAAATTAAAAAATATAGTAGTGGTATAAGTAACATTAAATGTTTTTCTTTGAAGTGTACAGTTATAATTTCTTACCAAATTTGTCATTAATATTTTTTTTGTCAGATCTACCTTCAACAGGTAAAATACACACACACACACACACACATATATATATATATATATATAGGGTACGAATCTCATGAGACCCCCAACTTAAATGAGATCATGAGATCTCATCCCATCCATTAATACAATCCTAATGGAATTTTTTTTTTTTTTTTTTGGTGAGTAAAGAGGAGCTTTAGGAGCCTCAGAGGTTACGAGAGCCTTCTAGTTGCAACACTATTGGCATCCCGAGCAAGTAAGAAATTTAAGTCACTAGGTGGGAGAAGTAACGAAGTCGTCCCCCAGGAATTACTATGCCCCAGATTGGCTAAGAAGTCCACACATTGGTTTCCTTCCCGAAGGACATGGCGGAGGTCGCAAACGTGAAACCCTTCCATCAAGGATTTGCAATCTATAATCAAAGTATCAGCCTCTGGACTGGATCCTGAGTCATTAAATGAAAAATAGAAAGTAATGAAGGTCATAATTTAAGCAGAAGGGTTAAAAAGTAATTGTAGAGTTGTGTTAATTTTGGTTCGAATTAAATTGTAATATTTAGCATAATAATAGAGACTTTATAAATGGAAATTAGTTGTTTTGATTCTGTGGTGATATATAGCATAAGGCGTTAAATTATTTGTCATTTGTGAGGGTATTAATTCCGAGATCAGAACGTGCACAGTGGAGGGTGAAGGCTACACACAACGTGGTGCGTAATTCAGTGTGTGCGGGTGTTTGTAGAAGCGTGTGCGTCTGTTTGTTTTGGATGAGTTTGATGTGTGCATTGACATAGACGTTGGTTTGGTTTACAGTTTTTATTACAAATATATGTACAACTTTCGGCCATTCGAATGACTTAGTGTGAAATTTTTTTCGTTTAGTATATAGATTGTTAATGAAGATTTGTGCATTGTGGGGTAGTGCCGTGTTCGTATGTGTTTGGAATTACATGTAGTAGATAGCCGTTAACTTGACAGAGGGTGAAGTAGTGCCTGTTGGTGGGTGGTTAAAATGTAGGCAATTTAACTGTGCGTTCGTGGGTAATAGTGTGTGCAAGTAACTGTGTATGTGCAAGGTAATACGTTTATGCGTTCGCATGCACCAGTGTGTGCTTGTATTTGAAATGGCGTGTGCAAACTGTAAGTTAAGGAGTTTTGCAATTTGTTTACCTTCAATTAGTGGCCAAGATTATTGTTGGGGGTGTGCATAGAATGATATAGTTAATTTGTTTAGCCAGTCGGTAGTTTTACAGAGTGTCAATTAATGCTACTACTTTGATGAATTAAAATTTTGTTATTTTATGCGAAATCTGGTTGCGAATGTAGAAAGGGGTATGAGTGTGCGTAGTAGGGATATGGCGTGTGCGCCGTGTGGGTGAAGTGTCTTACGGGTGTGCATTCGTGGGTAATAGTGTCCGCAAGTAGCTTTGTGTGTGGAACCAACTGTGCGTACTCGGTGTGTGCGTGAGTTTGCAAAAGCATAGGCGTGTGTTTGCATAAAGAGCGAGTGTGTGATTGCAGAAGCGTGTGCGTCTGACGGTATGAACATGAACATGGAATAGACTAAGACATGCGAATTGAAAAAAATGTATATGACGAGTGGGAAAACTGTATGTATTACGCAGTGTCCAATACAAAAATACAAAAATAAAAAATAAAAAAATAAGGAAAAGCATTTAACCACTTCATCCGTGCGACCAAATGCTTAGGAGAAGCCCGAATCTTCAAAGGCGGAAATAGTGCCAAATCATCTGCATCAAGGTCATCATCCGAGCCATCCGAAGCTGGGCCTGGTTACATAGGACAAGGGGGTGATTCAACATCATCGACCGGCGGCAAATGTACCACCACATCTACCGCATCTACCATCTCTACAGCATTGTCACCTGGTAATACCAAAAATTAATGCATAGGACCAAAAAAAACATACCACAACGTCATAAAAACGGTTACCATGCACCTGAGCACAAATTCACCCCCTTGCGCACACACCTAAAATTTTAGCCTTAATACCAGTACAATGCACAAGCTTAAAAACTACAACGCACCCACTAATTACTACTTCCATATGCTATCAACGACGGTGAATCGCACAATCAACAACAGACATGAATAGTTCTACGCACACACCCAACAACACACATGCACACATAACGTTAATATACAAATCCGAAAAAAAAAAAAAAAAAAAAAAAAAAAAAAACATGTATTGTTGAAATAATTCTATAAAATAAAAATTAAAACAACAAAAGGAAATCACCTACATATTTGAATACATCTACTAAAATAATTGAAAACAAAAATAGATGCATTGACCATTATCATGCACCTAAGCAAAGACTCCATCCCCACAGCGCACACCTAGAATTTTAGCCTTAATACCAATATGATGCACAAGCTTAACAACTACAACGCACCAACTAATTACTACTACTATACCATATGCTATCAACAATGGTGAATCGCACAATCAACACTAGACATGAATACTTCTACGCACACACCCAACAACACACATGCACACAAAAACGTTTATATACAAAGCCGGGAAAAAAAAAAAAAGAAGAAGAAGAAGAAGAAGAAGAAGAAGAAGCCATGTACTGTTGAAATAATTATATAAAATAAAAATTAAAACAAGAAAAGGAACCAACCAAAAAAAAAAAAAAAAAGCATTAAAAAAAAGGGATAAAACAACCACTGCCGATCAACCCAAAATTCGCGTTCCATGTATTTGCACACGATATTGCTCAATAGTGGATACACATTATTATTAAATGGTAAATTTATAGGGTACTGATTTTTTTTTTTATTAAACATCTGTATTGCTTTAAATCGCACAGGCCATTTGTCTTCTCCGCACAGGCCACCGCCATATGCGTATACGAACTGATTTCGCATTCATAAATTTTTTTTTATCAAAATAACAACATGCATGAATTCAAGCTCACTGAAAATAACGACTTTTTACATCACTAAGAAATTAAAAATTCAAAATAAAAAAACAATGGCATGGTAGAGGACGCACAAACCTTAAAAAAATAAATAAATAAATAAGGGAAAAAAAACACCTTGCGAAACCCTAACACCTCTACTCACACTGCAGCTTTCGGACGACATCCTAAGCAACCTACCGGCTACCGCCCAACACCGCCACACCACCCCATCACCCCCAACAACCGTCAACAACCCCCACGCAAACCCCCCCCCCCTCCCCTTCTCGGGAACATAGCTTTCGGACGAAAACCCTATGCACCCTACCGCCCAACACCACCACGCCCCTCCACCACCCCCAACAACCGTCAAAAACCCGCATGCAAACCCCGCCCCACCTCGGAACAAAAACCCATGCCAGAAACCAGAAACCCACACAAAAAAGACATGGAACTCGAAATACCTTGAGGGGAACCAGAAGAGCTGCCCTTCCAACACTTACAAGGCCTGATAGAAGAACCCGCCATGTAGACTACCTGGACGACACGGACAAACCGGCACCGGAGAGGAGCGTGCTCGCAAAAAACGGAGGAGTCCGCCTAACCCTTGCGTTGCAGCGATGGAGAAAACTCTGACAGGAGAGGAACTGAAGAGACGGACGCGAACTGAAGAGCCACGGCAGTGAGAGAAAAATATTGAAATTGATTTGATCGCAATAATAACGCTACAACCCTCTACACACACGCACGGCAATAATTAAGGAAAAGAAATAATGATAATGACAAAATACCACAATGACCCTAGCTACATATAAACTCATCAACACATGGGATCCAAATACAAATAATTTGAGCCGTTAAAAACTAAAAATAAACGAACAAGATGTAGTCTCACGATCTCATTAGACTAAGGGGTCTCATTGGATCCAATATCTATATCTATATATATATATATATATATATATTTATTTATTTATTTATTTATTTATTTATTTATATTTATATTTACGTAGTTTCTATAAGTTTAGTTTAATTTAATAATAATATTTAATTAATGAATAATATGTATCTATTTTAACTTTTTAAAATTAAAATTCACATTGTTTGAAAGAGTATTTTTCATGTGTTATCTTATTTGATATGAAATATATGTATTATTGACTTAGTCAACAAATCATTTTCATTACATTAATTATGATGTCGATATTAAAATATATTTATAATAAAAGAAATTAAAAAAAAAAAAAAAAAAAAAAAAAAAACTAATAGGATTTGCTAAAACTTTATCTTTTTTTTTTTTTTATAATACTATGTCCAATGCATTTTTAGACAAATTTATGTTACATAATAATATTTGTTATCACCAAAAATTAAATTTTCATTTTCTAATATTTATAAGATTTATGTGTTTGTTTATTTAATTTGATAATTTAATATTATTAATTTTTTATTGTTCATTAGACATTATTCAGTAGTAGCGGATAGTGCATATTTATAATTAATATTTTTATGAAATTGAGACAACAATTAACAAATTTAAATTCTATACTCCTTATCCAGTAAATCACAGATAGACCAAAGTACCCAACAAACAAGGACAATTGATAAGGTTGACACGATGAATATTTATTGGTCACATAAAGTTGGAGTTTTTTTTTTTTTTTGATAATACATAAAGTTGGAGTTGAACACACGAATTTGATTCGTTCTTTCTTTTCTTTGCCAATAATAAGGATGAAAATTCCGCGAGAAAAACGCTGCAGAGTGGGGCCACTTTCCAACCTAACTCCCCATGCCCGCCAGCCACGGCAGCCAGGTTCTTTCCAGTTCTTCTCCTCCTCATTTCTTGCTAAGCTTTTAGGAGATGTTTGTTTTTTCGTTTCCAATAATAATACTAACTTCATTTTTACAGTCAATTCGCATAAAGAAGTGCCCTTTTTGGAATTTGTTCATCTCCCTTTTGCTGGTAAGACTTTCACTTGACTTCTTCTTCTTTGATGCTTACTGCATTCCGGCTTCTTCCCCAAAACTTGGGAGTGTTTGGTAAATAGTTGTTAGCTTATTGAGTTAGTGGGTTTGATTAATTGATAGCTTAGCTGATTTTTGAAAGATGTTTGGTAAATTAGTAACTGATAGCTGATTACATGTAAAAATGATTTTTTCGAAAAGTTGAATTTGGTAAATTAAATGACCTTTTGAATTTTAGCATTTTGAAGCTGTTACAAAAAGCTAATTAATCCAACATTTTCAATGCATTAAGTGTGTTTTCTTGGAAGAACTGAGTAGAATTGTGGAGGCAGGAGTCTGGTTATTAATGCACTTAAGTTAATATGTACACTAGCTCTGTATTGAAGATTTGTTGAAGACCTTTCAAGATTGGGAAAGTAGTTAGAAGTAACAACTGTGGAGCTATTGTAAAGTTCTGTACTGTTCGGTTTCCCTTGCTTCTTGCTGCTTATCCTCTATGGAGTTTGACAAATCAAACGTTTCATATGCTGCATCTATATGTTGATTATCGATTTCTATTTCGTATATTCTGTATGTAAAGTTGCTGGATTGGCATTGACATAGCTTTTCTTTTTATCCTCTCGCCCATACTTTGGGATATGGTGCACTAATAACTTGGAATTTGTTATTTATTTAAAGCTTTAAAATGTGATCTTTCGAGATGGAGCTGTTCTTTGCAATACTAATATCAGCGTGCCTGTGGTCCTTTGTGTCGCCCGATCCCCAAGGTACTCTACTACTTGAATTTTTTTTTTTTTAGTTATTGAAGCAGTAAATGCAGCATATGATAAATTTAAGCTTAGCAATAGAGGATACTATAATCTTTTCCCGATTTGAGACCCCCTCTTAGACAGATATTGCTGCCTTCAATTCTTTTATAGTATACTTTCAATGTGATTTTTCTCTGTGCAAGGGAGTATAATACGATCAAATTCAAATTTTTTCCATGCCTCGTGCATTATAATTTGGAATGAGTTTCGAAGTTCCTTAACTGTTGTCATATGGCATACTAACTCCATCCATTCAATTGCTCCCACCAATTCTTTAAATACTTTTTTTTTTTCTGTTAACTTTATGATATTAAATTTCTACTTCTAAACAATTATGCAATGAATTATTCTGTATGAAGTAACCTCAAATGTTTTTGTAGGAGAAGCACTGTATGAATTGAAGGTATCGCTAAATGCATCAAATAATCAGCTTCCTAATTGGGACCGAAATCAAGTTGACCCATGTACTTGGTTCAAAATTAGATGTGATGAAAATAAAGATGTCACCATGGTGTAAGTAACATTTTTATGTAATACCTCCATCTCCTCTTTTTTTTTTTTTTTTTTTTTTTTTTTTTTTTTTGGGTGACGAGGGAAACCAGCAACCACTACCCAAGGGTGTGCACTGGGTAAATCCATCCTTGTGACCCTAGCCAGCAAAGGACCACAAGAAGGTAAACCAGTCTAGGTTGCTCATATCTGACTGGCTCAAACCAAAAAGGTTGGGATTCGAACTTGTGACCTTGTGGTAATGGGTTACACGTCTATATCCTTATTCCTTAGCCAACTTCGTTGGGGTTACCCCCCACCTACATCTCCTCTTTCTTCATGAGCACGTTGTGATGGTATATAAATTTCTCTATTTGTAAACTGCTTTGCTCCGTACTCATTAGTGTTATGATTTACTCTCTTTTTTGCAGATTATTGTCTAATATGGGGTTTTCGGGCACTTTATCTCCACAATTAGGGGTTTTAAAGAAGCTTACTACACTGTAAGTTAATCATGTTGATTTGGATTCTGATTGCATTTGAATTGCTCTATGCTATTCGCCATTTCTTAGAAATGAGTTCGTTCCAGTTCCCACTCCATTGGTTGATAAATTGCAAATCTTCATCTTGTAGTTCCTTGCAAGGAAACGGAATAACTGGTACGATTCCTGATGAATTAGGAAATTTGACGAGCTTGACAATGCTAAACCTGGAAAGTAACCGCTTATCTGGAGAAATACCGCCTTCTCTTGGCAATCTGAAGAGTCTACAGTCCTTGTAAGCAATGCTATCGGACTCCCAATAGAGCCTAGCTTTCATATTCACTATTTCTATTGTCTTAAGGAGATTGAAATATGTTCCTATGTTAAACAGGTTCTTGAGTCAGAACAATCTTACCGGAACAATCCCTCAATCGCTTTCAAGCCTTTCAGGCTTAGTTAATCTGTAAGCTATTAATCTTGTTTGAAATATTATCAATAAATGTCTTGCAAAGAGAGTAGAGAATTTCAATTATAAGTAGAGATACTCTTTTATTTAATGACTTTCTTGAAACGTTCTTTGCAGACAACTTGACTCAAATGGTCTTACTGGCCAAATACCCGAGAGTTTGTTTCAAGTCCCCAAATACAAGTATGCTTACCACTTACCATTTCCTGGAAGGCTGGGACAATCAATTAGAACCTGCTTGTTAATATGATATCTACGCTGTTCTTTTGGTATCTATCAATATTTGTATCTAAGTGACTTGATTTTTTATTTTTTTTTAATTTTTTCTAGTTTTACCGGTAACCATTTAAACTGTGGCTTCAATTTGAGTCATCATTGTGAACCTGATAGTGAAGGTAATTTACGGTGCAATGTTATATCTATTTAATGGATTACTTTATTAGTCTCTAATACAGAAACAGGTCCTATGATGAATATGGGGAAGAAAAAAAAAAAAAGTTCTTTTCATGTTTTGAATGATTTTTCGAAATTAAAGCAAACATAAAAAGTACTGATATATTAAATGAAAGCAATGTACTATATTCTAGTACTTATATTTTACTCTGACAAGTTAATTTTGTCTTTGCAGGTTCTTCACATAAGTCAAAAACTGGAATGATTGTCGGGATTGTTGGTGGGTTTATTGCTGTTCTTCTTCTTGTTAGCTTGCCACTATTTTTCTGGAGGGACCGGCATAAATACTACAGGCATGATGTCTTTGTAGATGTCCCAGGTTTGTGTCAATTATGCTCTATACTTAGCTATCGTTAAAATTTCATTCCCACTTTTATTTGCTGATAGTTTCCGGCTTCATATCTTCAGGGGAAGTTGACCATCGGTTTGAATTTGGTCAGTTAAAGAGATTTGTGTGGACGGAGTTACAACTTGCTACCGACAATTTCAATGAGAAGAATGTCCTAGGTCAGGGCGGTTTTGGTAAGGTATACAAAGGGGTGCTTCCAGATAATACTACAATCGCTGTGAAACGATTAACAGATTACCAGAGTCCCGGTGGAGATACTGCGTTTCAGCGTGAAGTTGAGATGATAAGCGTGGCCTTCCATAGGAATATCTTACGTCTCATTGGCTTTTGCACCACACCAACGGAGCGCCTTCTGGTATACCCATTTATGCGGAATCTAAGTGTGGCTTACTGTCTACGAGGTACTTCTATTTATTCATAAAGCTGCTCAGGTTTTAATTGATATTCATCTTTTTTTCCGCAGCTGTTGAGTATATAACCATTAATGTGCAATCCAACTATTAGCTTAGGCTTTTAGTAGGGATGGAGCACATTCTTCAATTTGGTATCAGGCCCTAAGGTCATGGGTTTGAATCTCTACATCACCCAATAAGCGACTACGGTCCACGTGTTGCTTGGAACCCACCGCACACGTGAGGGGGTGTGTTGAGTATATAACCATTAATGTGCAATCCAACTATTAGCTTAGGCTTTTAGTTGAGAGGACAGTGTGACCAACTTGGTATAGCTTAGGCTTTTAGTTGAGAGGACAGCCTGACCAACTTGGTTGGGATTGCCCCCAAAATGTATCTTTAATAGTATTAATAGCGCCATCACAATATAGAGTATGCAAAAGATGAATTAAGAAAATGATGGGTAGCTCTTAAAGTAGGCATGCAAAATGTACAAATTCATTGCTTGTCGTCTTCTATTAATGAAAATTTTGTTTTATGTGTAGTCTGAATATATCTGATAAGATCCAATACGGTTTCAGAATTTTGCTTGTTCTTTTATTAATGAAAATTTTGCTTCCTGTATCATCTAAATACATCCGATAAGATTCGGTATGATTTCAGAATTTAAATCTTGGGAGTCCGTCCTAGATTGGCCGACCAGAAAGAACGTGGCATTGGGCACTGCACGTGGACTTGAATATCTACATGTACATTGTAACCCAAAAATTATTCACCGTGATGTTAAGGCTGCTAATGTGTTACTGGATGAAGATTTTGAAGCCATTGTTGGTGATTTTGGCTTGGCAAAGTTAGTAGATGTTAGACACACCAACGTGAAGACTCAAGTACGTGGTACGATGGGTCACATAGCTCCTGAATACTTATCTACTGGAAAATCGTCGGAGAAGACTGATGTTTTTGGCTATGGAATCATGCTACTAGAACTTGTAACTGGTCAACGTGCAATCGATTTCTCTCGCCCTGAAGAAGAAGATGATGTCTTATTGCTTGATTATGTAAGTTAACAACTTCGTTTTATATTTTTTCATACAAGCAAAGATAGAAAGTGATAGTCTTGTTACTCGAGGATACATAGTGTTAAGAGTCCCACATTGAAAATATAAGAGAGGACATGTGTTTTTAAGGCCATAGGTTAGACCAGCTAATTGATTGGATTCAATCTTTTAGTGTGGTTTGGTCCCTTGGCCTAATCTTAGTTTATAACATGGTATCAGAGCTTTGAAATCACCACATCTTTGTCGTCATGAAGGTCAAGAAGCTCCAGAGAGAGAAAAAGCTCGGTGCTATTATAGACCGTAACTTGAATGAGAACTACGACATCCAAGAAGTGGAGATGATGATTCAGGTGGCATTACTATGCACCCAAGCATCACCCGAAGACCGTCCAACAATGTCAATGGTAGTCCGGATGCTGGAAGGAGAGGGGCTTGCCGAAAGGTGGGAAGAGTGGCAAAATGTTGAAGTAACCCGTAGGCAAGAGTTCGAGAGACTGCAGAAACCGTTTGAGTGGGTAGAACATTCGCTCTATAATCAAGAAGCTATTGAGTTATCTGGCGGAAGATGACATTGTAAATTTTGACCTGATTTACAGAGCTTAGCTCCGATCAATATCTCTATCGGTTTCTCTAGTGGAAGATGACAGTGTAGGCAACAGCATATATACTAGTATACAATACACGTGTTTTGACCTGATTTACTATGCACCCAAGCATTACCCGAAGGTTGTCCAGGAATGTGAAGAAAGATTATGTGATTTGTAGAGATTCTTTTGAATTGTCTGAATAAGCTATTGATGAGTTATCTGGTAGAAGATGACATTCTGGGCAACTACAAACTAGTGTAGAATTCATGTAATATTGATGTTGTTGTGATTACATATTTGGTACGAGGGACATGATCTTTGTGTTATACTATGCACAGTTACAACAATGTGATTATCATGTAAAATAAGAGACAGTATAATGCCATTGCAGGCTTATCTAGTCAAAAGTACTACTGCATCAATTTGTGGACTTTAAGGTTTTCCAGAGGCTATAGAAAGCATCAAGTTTTTACCTCCTATCACCTCTCAGTTTTCACCTTATTTTACTTCCTTTTCATGCACTGAAAAAGTCTTTACTAAGCAAGAGAGGGAATCAAGGAATCACGGTGACTAAGTATCTTATTAGGTGGGAGGACTAGTGCAAGGTGCTCACAGAGAATCCATCATATTGACTGTAACTCTTATACTGTGACTAACAGAATGTGCAATCTTATATCATTGCCAACAATCTACTGGATGTACTAGGATGTTTGCTAACCGGGAACTTCTGCCCCGAGGAAGCATTATTGAATCTTCATGAGACATACAAAAGTAGCAAAGTTTTATCATCATTTGAATGTTGAACATATATGGGTGTTTGGTAAATGGTTGTTAACTGATAGCTGTTAGCTGATTGAGTTAGTGAATTTAACTAGTTGATTGTAGAAAAGTATTGGGTAAATTAGCTATTAGCTGATAGTTAATTACATACAAAATGCCTTTCTCAAAAAGCTGATCGAAAAAATTACTTTGAACAGCTTTTTGAATTTTAGCATTTTGGAACAATAAGTTGTTACAAAAAGCTAATTAATCAAACACTAATTGATTGTTTAACCAAGTCAAACAGCTAATAGTAATCAAATAAGTCAAAATTGACTGATAGGCTAACTATTTTACCAAATAGGATATATAAACATAAATGTGTAGTCCAACTATCAATTTAGGAATAATCACTTCTGTTGACAAACAAATTTTGCATTCCCTATGAAGACTAGATTATTTTTTTGCAGAAAGAAAAGAAGTTAAAATTTCTCAAGTTGAACTAATTAATAAGATCACCTCATATACAATGAATAACCCCACACCAAATAAAAATGAAAAAAGAAGAAGAAAAACCTATCATGTTATGTAAAACCTTTTGGCTTTTGCCTATGCAATCTACAAGCACTCCATGCTTTAGGCAAAACAGCATGTCACATATCTTACTTACACTGCATATGCCCCAAAGCTCGAATCAAAACTTTCCTTCATGACAGTGGTTGCATATCTTTTATAATTTCTTGAATCAAATCTCCTGTTATCTGGGATTCGATATCTTTGCCTAGAGCATTCACATCTTCATCAATCAATCCAGTCCACGGGGTGGACTTCAAGTCGCGTGCCACTATACTCTCGAGGGAATGATAAGATTCGTCTGGTGCTGGGTAAATTTGAGCTCGGGTCATTTCCCAGACACGATCCAGTAACTTCCTTCCTTGTGGAGGTCGAGGCAGAGGGCCAGTCGCCTTTTTCAAGAATCTAGACGCTGTCAAAGGTGCCCCAATCAAGCTCGAAAGTGCTTCGTTCAATAAATCACATAGCAACTTATGATTTAACTTCTCTCCTTGATCGTGTTCATTTCCCTTTGTCTTCTGCCTGTAAGATTCTTCTACTTCTTCGAAAACATGGTTGCTAATTGGCTTTCCAAGAGGATCCCATCTCGATAGGTATTTATCACACGAACCATCGTACAGACCAGAAGCAATTAGCAGATCCCTGATATAAGCTTCAGCATTGTCCTTTATCTCCATCATTTCATCCTCGAGAGGCTGGTCATCAATCACGGCCTCTCCAGGGATTCCAGTTTCTAACTGATTCAATTGCCTCCGCAGTTCTGTACCAATAAATGAAAATTCTTTTAACTCTCTTAACCATATCATGCAAAATCAAATCTTAGTATTAAGACATTGTTACGAGGCAAATCAAACTCTTACCACTTAGATTGGAGCTGATCTCTCGGAAAACACGAGGCATGTCACTCTCATCCAGTGGATAGACATCTGGAGTCGAAGCTGGGCTGAAATTATCTCCAGGCCTCCAGAATTCTTCATTAACACTGCTGCAAACAGACGCAGGGCTTGGTGGCACTTCAGTGGAATTTTCCTATAATTGAAGGTTATGAACATATATATTAATAATGGGTGGGATGTGTTGAGCATATAACCATTAATGTGCAATCCAACTATCAGCTTAGGCTTTTAGTTGAGATGGAGCACATGCTTCAATTTGGTATCAGAGCCAGACCAAAGGGCATGGGTTCGAAAACCCACCCATGGACCGTAGTCGCTTATCGGGTGACGTAGAGATTCGAACCCATGACATATATGCTCAACAGGATGAACTGATCCTGTTGTCAACTTTTATTCTATGATAAAAAGGTTGAGGAAAATTTCAACTCTTACATGTCTTTCGTAAAGATTCATAGTAACAGTTGGTGCATTGAAATTATGTTTACTTCCATGCGATTCCTCCAATGATGGAAGTTTTTTACCAAAAAGTTTTCCTCGGAGGATGAAACTGTATTTGAAGCTGGATACTTTTTCTTTGAGGTTGAACTTCTCTTTCCTCCGTTTCTTGGCATTCAAAGTTACCTTTTCGATAGCTTCATGTTTCCTCCTTATATGGGCACCTGTCAAAATATGGCGATCCTCCAAGAGAAGCTTTCCAAATGATGTTCCAGATACAGGAGCTGACAAAGACCGAATGAGATTCCTAGGAGAGAGTTCTGCCTCGAGTTTTACATCATCATCATCATCGTTATCCTTTCTGAAAGAACTGCTTTGCATATCTGATTTATTTTTCATCTCATCCCAGTGGCTAAATTTGCTTCCTGAATTCCTAGTGCCACTAGATTCTTCTGTTCTCGTCTTTTCCTTACTTGATAGTCCCAATCTAGAACATCCATGAACAGCCCGGGGGATATCACGACAAGTTTCTTCCTTTAGGACATTCCTCAACCTTTCTGTCAAGAATCTCCTCGTGTCTCTGTTAATAAACTCGGGAGAATCAGTCCCATCAAACTGAACTTCACTTCTATATGATCTTGTCGATTCAGAACGAGGCAAACTCACACCAAGGTCCCGAGTAACACTTTCCCTTACCTGCTTTGCAATGCGTTGAGCTAATTGCCTTGCATCTGGCGATTTTTCACTATAAGGAGTTTCGATTCCTCCTCCTCGGGCAATTGTGCTCCTCTTGGAACTCTTGCCTTGCATTTCGTGCCTCAACCTTTCCTTAACTTCCTCAAGAAAATCTTCCATGCTACCCCTGTCCTCTGAAATGCCTGGAGAACTTGCCCAGGATGCACCTTTGGTGTCAAAATCATCGAACCCAGGCCTCAAAATCACAATTTTCGTGGGAGCTGAGACTTTCTCAAACTTCTGGGAAGAATTAATTAAGGCAGTCTCCTTAAGGTCTGTTTTCGAATTTATGGTTTTGAGGAAAAATGAGTTCTTTTGCTCATCTGCATAATCTTCCGTTTTGTTTTTCTGGAGCTGTAAACTACTCCTTTCTTGGGGATACGCTTTCAGTTCTGTAGATTTTGCATAAAAAGCCATCTTTTCCCGGTTAAGGTTCTGTTGTGCAAGCCACTGACTTTGAGGAACGCCAAGCTCAACAACTTTCGAACATTCCCTAAACCTCGCAGATTGCCACGCTTCAAATTCTTTCTTAAACTTCTGCAATTCCTCCTCCTGAGGGTGTTCTCGGGGTTTGGGTTTCTCCAACTTCACGCTGCTATCGCTCCATCTGTCTTGATCACAGTATTCATAGCCATCAAAAGAACTCAACTTTTTATGCCTCGAGGAATTCGTCGTGAGAGTGATGCGATCAATCGGGACCTCTCTCACCTCCTCCTCTTCGGGAGTGTTGCTTATTTTCGTTTCATTGTTTTTCTTGTTCTGCCTTGCAACGGGCTTTGAATCTAACGGTAACATATCCACTCCCATCAAACGGGCTACTACACTAGGTGCATTCCGTCCTTTGTTCGGTCTTCGACCAATTTCCTCATTAATAAGCTTTTTAATCGGAAGCTCAGGGGTATACGAGTTCTTGTCAGACCATCCATTTGTCATATGATAAGCACACTGGACATATAAAGCAATCAAGAAGATAAATAAAAACCAGTTCTTTCAGAAACTATCCGGGCAACATAGAAATCCAAATAATCTATTATGATAACAAGGAAAAGAATGGATAACAAAACTTTAAACAGTTAACATCGAATACTAAATTGTAAAACTTTTACCAGAATGTTATTATTGCCTCCGGTACAAAGTCTCTGGGAAACCTCTACGGGCAGGTCCAAACTGTTTCGAGGAGCCTCCAAACCTGCAGAGAAGTCGAAGATATCCTTAAATTAGCACTTGGGCACAAAGACATAAACATTAAACAGTGTTAGATACGTGAAACGGAAACACTTGCCACCCGGCTTCTTGTGAGAAACAAACTTCCTAGCCATCCCGTTTTCGCCAAAATCAACTAGTTCAAACAAGCTTCCCATGCACACAATGGGACGAACCGATAGGTTACCCCATTAAACCGAAAAGGTTAGACATTAGAATATTTCATGGACACGAAGCTCAACCTGCAGATGCAACATGAACAAGTAAGAAAACGGAAAAATGAAAGGGAAATCGGAATATCATTGTTTAGGCAATCCCATTCTCACAAAAAGTAAAACAGTTAATCAGGGTAAAGTAGCTTTCAACAACAGGAAAACGATGTTTGAGGGGGGAACAAATTATCAGAATTCATACATTATTATAAGCTTTAATTCTTGGATAATGTTTCCTGTTTTCACTGAAAGTAACTGCTAACATCACATCCCAATTTTATTTTTTTTTTCTTTCTAATAAAGATAATTTAAATATTGTCACTTAACTCTCTCCACCATGAAGAATTCATGTTAGTCCCACATGCCAGCGATGAATGGAGAGCAAAAAGTCATCCATCCACCTCATCTGAGGGGTAGCTTTTGCAGACCAACATATCACATGATTATAGGTAATAGCTTTTTCACAAATTTAAAAAAAAAAAAAAAAAAAAAAAAAAAAAAAAAAAAAAAAAAAAAGTAATATGAGAATCTTGATCTCATCTAGCATTCTTGAGAACCACTTGATTAGTTAGATGAAGGCAGATTATAAGATTGATCAAGAAAAAGTGTGAAACTAAACCAAATTTGACCATTATAATTTCACCATATACTACTGTGCAAACAAGTCTACTCTTTCCCACATCAAGGGCTGCAAAATGATCAGGGAGAGAAATCTACTTTTAATCTAAATGCTTTTATCATTGAGCCTGATAACCAGGATTCAAATTTCTTTAAAAATGTCGCCAATCAAAATTACATTAAATTTCCATTTCAAAGAATTTGGTGATTCTGATTTTGACCACAGAATCTGGCAAAATTACCAGAAAATTACAAATCAAACCATATACCCAATATAACCCACCAAAAATCCCACCTCAAACTGAAGAACCCATAAACTAAACAAACTGCAAAATCCCGAAAAAAAATCTGGGTTTCAAGATTCAATTTTGCTACACCAAATGCACCTAGAAGAACCGATCAAAAGACACGCACACGAACCCAGATTCGGCAATTTGTAGTAAAAAAAAAAATAGTAAATGTGCAGACTTACAGTTGAAGGAAGGAAGCAATAGAAACCGAAATTGTTAGGGGGACAGAAGTGAAAACTCAAGAATCCGCAGAAGAAGAGAGATGAAGGGAGAAACAGAGGAGAATGGGGGTGGAAACTGGAAAGTAGAAGCAGTAATTAGTATGATACTAAGAGGGGAAAGAAGAAGAAGAAGAAAAGGTGAGAGCTTTTAGCATGAAAGTAAACATCGCTGGAAAATGGAATCTCTCTACAAAAAGGTAGCTTGGAGGTCTCAGTTTCCGAGAAGCAGGAAAATTGGTAAGGCTTTTGTTCTAGGTAGGAATCAAGTGGTGTCTGGACCACCCTGATGGGAGAATGTTTATAAACTTAATTTAATCACTCCCTATTAGGAAGAGATAGGTGATAGGTCCCATCATTATTTCATTTTAAATTACTATCTAAGATCTTCCCTTGAGCTACCCTGCATGATAGCCATGGGGAGTTGGGGACCAATTACCTAAAACAGGGTTATTCTGTATCTAATTTTTTTTTTAAAAAAAAAAGTATTCAAAGTGACCTCAGTTTCTTTGTGCACAATAATATTTGGCTCTGTCTGCTGACCATTAACCATTGAGTCACCGTGATTTACATCATTCCAAATATTCTATCAGGCCAAGGTATAGGGACCCTTGGGGTTGGAATGCTCTGTCAGGCCAAGGTATAGGGACCCTTGGGATTGGAATGCTCTATCAGGCTAAGGTATAGGGACCCTTGGGATCGGGGATTCAACTTTTTGGAAGAAGTTAAAACTGTGTAATTAAATCAAAATAACCGATTATACTAAAAACTTACCCATCATTTTGCTTATGTGGTGTTTTTCATGTAATTTTTATTTTTTATTTATTACGTACTCGTCTTCTTTTGTCAATAATAAATATGTAAACAAAAGTTTTTGTGGAAGTCATGAAAATTGAAAAAAGTTCATCATCACTTTCAACTTAAAGAAGAGTTTGGTGTTGCCTAAACCTCGTCCTAGATCGAAGATGACGTTTGCTTCTAGTTGAATAAAAGAGGCATCTCTATTCATCTTTGTCGGAGACGAAGGAGGGGTGAATGCAGCCACATCGGCTCCTTTCAATTTAATTACTTTTTTTAATTAAGATTATCCATGTTAGCACAAATAAATTTTTAATTTTAAATGCACACCAGCATTTTTACAAAGAGTAATTGGAATATTTGGTTTAATTGTATGGATTTGGTTTGCTCAAAGAGTTAATTGTATTTTTTGAATTGAATAATTTAGTTGCATTTTCACGTTTAATTCAATTATCTATTTAACCTTTTTTTTTCAATATTTTAAAGTGAACTAAAATTAATATACTTGTGGAACTTTAGTCAACTTTATAAAGTTGATGAACATAATATGATTAAATTAATAGTGGATAAACTAGATAGCAAAATGTTGGATGAATTGTGAAATTAGTTGTACTTCAAAAAGAGTACTTCTCATCCTCTTCTATGAATACATGCTTACATGGCTTCTCCCTCTTTTTGATAATTTCATATGTAATAGTTTTACTTTATTTAGGAATAAAGCATGTGGCATCTTTATTGTATTTCACTTAAGAAGATATTATTTATACTGAAAATTATAAATAAATAAATAAATAAATAAATAAATATATATATATATATATATATATATATATATGATTAATTAATAATATATTATTTTACACTTTGTTAGTTTTGTTTTACATCTTTTTCAAATGTTCTTAAGCAAAACCCTGCCGCAACAATGTGTTCAAAATCATGAGTTTCACTTGGAAGAGTCATTCCGTGTTACTATACTACAAGATCATTGACAAGTATAAAGTATATTTACTTTGTCTAGAAGAGTAGTTCTTTTTATATTTTTTGAGTACTATTGACTCTATCGGGATTTGATCATGTGACATTTTCTCAAGGAGAGTTACAGAGGTATCATCTGAGCACAAGGTGCTTGACAGTTCTTTTTATATTTAATCAATAATCAATAAGTAAATTAAAAACAAAAATAAAAAATAATTTCACCCCAACCCGGATGGCTCCAACGTTCCCTCACTGGAGATTGGTAGATGAGGTAAATTTTGAGATATATCTCAACTGATCCACATATCCTAAACGCTTACACACTTGTGTGCACAATTAAAAAAAATTACAGTATCAAATACTCTTTAAATATAAATTTAAAATAATTAAATTATTTATTGTTTATATTTTTAATGTAAGTAAAATTTAAAATATATTACTCCCTTTGTTTTATTTTATGTGTCTAATTCAATTAATTATGTTTGATTAAAGTTTTTGATAATTTAAATTTTTTATAATATTAATATAAAATATAAAATTCATATATCATAAAATACATTAAAAGTACTATTAAACTCAAAAATTATATTTAAAAATAATAAATAAATACTAAAAAAAATGAGTAAAGAAGAAAATGTTGGTTTGATCAATAATAATAAACTGAATAAGTAAAATGAGACCAAATGAATAATATATTCTCTCAAATTTATGTATAATCAAATAACTTTTTTTTTTTCCTGAGCAACCCCATTAAGGGAATTTTACTTGAATTTTTTCAGATATTATTGTTACATGGAAAAGAGGGAGGGAGGAGAGAGATGAAGTGAGGTGCTCTTGCAAAGACCCAAGATTTTGCAGTTTGTGGGTCCCATCTTGTGAGGCACAACTCTCATGCCCAGGCTAGTGCGTAAATCTGTTTTTTTTTTTAGATTTATTTATTTTTTCTTTTCTTTTTTTTTCTCCTCATCTATTTTCTCTTTCCTAGTCACACCTGCAAAAACTCATCAAAAACCTCACACTATTGAGGATGTCCTTATTACTAAAAGAAAAACTTTTTTTCCTATAATGTGGGGCTGGAGTATATTTGAAATATGGAATTAATTTAAAGAAGAAAATATGGATGCAATTAATTAATTTTCTCAAATTTTCCTTGCCCCGGTTGGAATGGCACATCAAATGTAATGACTTATGGAAGATATCATAATTATGTATTAATAGAATCATAAATGAGCATGTTCAGCTTTAAAATCACTCCAATCTTGAGTTTGACCATTGAACATGCTTTTGCCTTCTTAATTAATTAATCCCTATTATCCCTCCTAAAATATTCCTTTCTATATTTTTAACTTTATGGATTTATGAATAAAATAGAGATCATAAAATACTCTATATGTAATGTGTCTAAATTAAGAATTTATGTTTTTTTTTATACATACTATATGAAGTACTTCATAATTGTGAGTCAAAATTAAATTTGAATGTAATACATTTACAAAATATAACTTTTAGGGAAAAGGTCAAATAGGCCATCGAATTTTAGCTTAAAAATCAATTAGGCCCCTAAACTTTTTAAATGTTCAATTACACCCATCAACAATTCATTTAGGTGCAATGAAGTCCAAAAACAAGTTAATGACCTGCTATCACAGGTCATTAGGGTTCAGGCCACCTTACCGCGAATTTTCCAACAAAAAAAAAGTGACCAGCAACCGACCTAGATTTGCCTAAAATTTCGCCGGTCACTTCTTTTGTTGAAAATTTTGCCGGTCACTTTTTTTTTTTTGTCGGAAAATTTGCCGGAATGTGGCCTGAACCCTAATGACCTGTGATAGCAGGTCATTAATTTGTTTTTGGGCTTCATTGCACTTAAATGAATTGTTGATGGGTGTAATTGCACCTTTAAAAAATTTAGGGGCCTAATTGACTTTTAAGCTAAAGTTCGAGAGCCTATTTGATCATTTTCCCTAACTTTTATGTGAAAAAATTTGACAAAAAAAAAAAGTAATAACATGCCATAATCACACAAGAATCAAACTTCTTATCTTATAATTTCATTAATTAAAGATATTTTGGTGTTTATCTTATGGAATATAATGAAACTAATTCAGTTGAATTTTAGTCGAATCCTATATAGTAACACATTATAAAATTCTCTATAAGAATGCTGAAGTCTAGTCTAAATGACTAAATCATCACTTCATCAACTGTTTTCTAGGTTGATAGATGAGGAATCAAGCCTGCTATTCACACAGCTTCTACTGAGCTAGCTATTGAATAATATTGATATTGACTCTAACAGAACAGAGTTCATGAATTCAGATCAACAGTATGTTGTACCAGGTACAACATTCTAAGAAACACATGATACTTCCCTTTCATTTTCTATTTCTCGAATATTGATCAGTGATAATAAAAAAAAAAATTAAAAAAAAAATCTATGTGTGCAGAGTGTATATGTAGGAGAGAAAATTAAGGGTGTGTTTGATTCGTACGTGGGAATCAGAATTGGAATGAGAATCAAATATTTGGTAAAGATAATGAATTTTGGTGAAAGTATTTTACAAATTTGGTAGAATGGTAAAATTGAAAAGATTAATCTAGCGTAAGCTATAAATCTAGGCTCTGTTTGGCAGAACTTAAGCTATAAATCTAGGCTCTGTTTGGCAGAACTTATTTAGGAATTTATAGCTTATTTTAAGCTACTGATAAGCTATAAGTTCTGTTTGGTAATGTTCCCAAAATAAGCTCCTAACTTAAAATAAGAGCTTATTTTGGAACGTCGTTTCAAAATAAGCTAGGAACTTCCTAACTTTTTTTCCATTTTTATCATTATTATTTTAAAGAAATAACATCATTTACTATTCTCAATTAAAAATTCTTTACTTCTCATTTATTTGCAATTTTCACGACAAATCCTTTATTATTATTATTATTACACATCTTTAAAGAAATGACAAATCTTTTATCCACACCTTTATCGTTGTTATTATTATTATTATTATTATTATTATTTTAAGATTGATTATCTAATGTATAAATAAAAATAAAAAAAGAAATTTTCACCCCATTAATAATAATAATAATAATAATAATAATAATAATAATAATAATAATAATATTAGGCACTCTTGAATCGACGTGTAACAGGACACCATCAGAGACGGAGCCACACACGGAAGCTTGTCTGTTTTCCGTCGTTGACGTGCTCTAAGTGACGAATTTACCCTTTCCATATAACCCTGTTTACCAACTCTGGCAACTATCCGCCTATAATAACGGAAAAACGGAATACTTTTTAAGAATTTTTATTTTCCCTTTTAATTTATTATCTTGTCAATTTGCAATAATTTAACGGCAAGAGCGCAAAATCGTACAGCTCATAAGCTGTTGCTTTTACGCACGACGTACGGCCTACATTTGGCGGCAACTCGTAACGGCCACACAGATCTTTATGCAATTGTTATATCGTGCACAATAAAAATTCATTGTTTCGTATATACATTCTTCC